ATATATGTATATGTGTGTATATATAAATTATTAAACAAAGGTCGTGTGGGGAATGAGTAATGCCTTGGCTTAGAACGAGCCTAGCCAGACAGACAGCAGCGGGCAATAAATAGAACCAAGATTATATACAAGCGATAAAAGCAAAACACAAAAACAACAAAAAACGATCAAAGAGACATCAGATTTGAATTTGCTGCCAAATATGGGCGTAACAAGTTAGCGAGACTACAAAATCGATGACAAAGACTATTAACAACAACAACAACAACGGCAATATAAACAACAACAATGTAAAGATGTAAATTAAGCATTGTATATGATTGAAAAATTGTTAATAAGCGTGTGACGATCAAAGTCAAGTAAACAATAAGAAAGAAAAACATAGCCAACATAAGGAAGTGTGGGCAGAAGAGACTTGAAACAAATTGAAGTTCAAAGTAGAAAAAAAAAATAAAAAACAAATACATAAAAATTCTTCGCTCGAGGGTCAACGAAACAGGCTCTCCAAGCGAAAGTTAATTTAAGAATTTAGAAAAACGAGCTGAAGCTCTAGACGTTGCAATACCCTGGAAATTTGATTAAATATTATAGATCATGTTAATTTTTTAACGCCATTCAAGCTCTATTCAAGAAGAAAAAGAATAATTTTATGCAAACAGAAAGCTCTGCCCCCATCGCCTTATATAATGCATAACAAAATTTAAATGAAACTTCTCTAAAATTATACAATAAAATCTGCATCTAATATCTAATGAAATATTTATAATATAAAAGACAGACGCAACGTGTGCGGAATGTCAAACAAAAAGACAGCAAACAAAAAACAAAAAAATTCGATAATCTGTGGGGATCTCAGTATTGGAACCACTCCAAAAAAAAAAAAAAACAGTCAAAAGCGAATGAAAGGGGGTAGCCAGGGAATGGAACGGTCAGTGGACAGATAAAGAAATACTTGTAGATAGAAAGGGAAGTGACAAAACGATATGTGCTTATAAATGCGGCTACATTGTTGCCAACGGATAGGTGGATGGATTGGATAGGTGAATTGATAAAAGCAGAAATATTATATGTGCACATTGTAATAATAGTGATCAACAATGGAGCTCTGTATTTATATATAGAGATATATATAGAAAAAAAATGAACGTCGTGCGATGAGTTTGCAAATTGTCAAAGTATTCGCGTTTGTTGTCCATGTTGTTGTTGTTGTTGTTGTTGTTGCTCCTCGGGCGCTGGCCGGTCCCGCCTCCGGTTTCTCCTGACAACGGCGACAACTTGAAACAGACGCCTAAGCAACATACAACACACATGCACACACACACACTCAGACAAAGCAACGCACAAATTGCTGTACAAATTGCCCCTTGGGGCGTGAATCGCTAGAGATGTGCGTGCTAAAATTTATCGTGAGGCTAGTAAATTTTGTAGCTTGCAGCTATTAGGAGTTGAGAGCATGAATAAATACATTAATAATGTGGTTTAATGAAGGCTAGATTACAAGTATAACACTTTACATTTATTAATTCTAATAAGCTACATTTGTAATTAATATAACTCTTGGCATAATTGCCTAGACATTTCTGTATGACACTTAACTTTATAACATTTGCTACACACATGCTATATAACAATGTTGAGCAACAATCTTTAACTATGTGAACCCAAAACCTAAATATATAACTTATCATATTGCTCATTCGGTATAATACTTCGAGCATTTGAAGTATAGAACTTTCAACTCATAGAGTTGGAAATTTACGACAAAGAAAATAATTTCATATTGGTTCCATATCTCTTAATTCAAGTCATATATAAAATCTACCAATATAACAATATAACTCTATGCACCGCTAGTCATGCAAATATAACACTTTTAAATCTAAACACTTGGCAGGCAAATAGAGCACTTGAAACCTGTTCGATAACATTTTCTAAGCCACAATATTCAATTGGCTTTCAAGCACGATTCGCAACAATCATTAAATTTATTATAACTTTGTTGATTTTTTTTCTCTCTATTATTTTGTAATTAAGAATTTTGTGCAAATGGAAACTATTGAAAAATTCTGTCATATGCTTTATATGGTCTGTGTCGCAGTTCGTGCGATTGGCGATTCTATAAACTAATTTGATTGAGAAAAAAAATCATTTGGTTTTTATGTTTGCTATTTTATTTTCTGTTGCTCTTTATAGGTGAACGTGCAATTTGAGTTATAAATTTTTTAAACTTATATAGAGAAATTGTAATTTGTATTTGTTGTTATCTATTTGCTGTTATTGTTGTTGTTGCTTCCATTGTTGATCTGTGACCTTTGTTTTAAATTTTCAGCTGAGTTTTCTCTCATGTTTTGCTAGTTGAATGAACTTTACTACAGCTGTTAAATATTTTTGTTTATTATTTCTTCAGTAAAAAACGAGAGTTTTTTGTTTAAGTTTGTAAAAGAAATAAATGATAATGATAATAATAATGATAATGAAAATAACCATAATAATGTTGGTCATTATAATTGTCACTGTCATTATCATTGTCATTTTGCATGAATGATAAGAAATTGCAAAAAATACTGATAATCATATCTAGTGTAATACAAATAATGATGAAAATGATAATGATGTTGATAATGATAAGAAGAATCGAGAACAAGCAGTCAAGCTGCTTTAGGGGTATATGCCTCCGTTTGTATTTGACATAGTATGATGACTAATTTCATGATATTTATGGTATATGGTGCTGTTCCATAGTTTCTTATTTCCATAAGAATAATAATGTAATGTAAAATAAAAGTTACACAATATTTATCAAAGCGGAATTTTGTTTACAAACTATTACAGTTACGTTCCGTGTTATGACTGCATTAACTTTTAGCTTAGCTCAATTAAGCTTTTCTTTCAATATGTTTTCATCATAGATGTCTATATGTTCTAGTTGATTGTCTCGTGCACACGATTTGCATGTTTAGCTCTTTAGATTCCTTTATGGAACGTATTAATTTTCATGTTTAACGCTTGGCTGTGATTTGCTAGCAGACGTCAAAGTCGCGCCTTTGTATGCAAATGAAGTTGGTCGGCAAATACAATTTATATTATATATGTATATGTATTCATAATACTTAATTAATAATGATGCAGAGAAATAGTCAAGGAATTCATTGACCGGATTAAGTTCTGTTTAACCAGCTCAGCCAGACACAAGTTGTAAAATGTCTTCGAGTGCACCTTTAGCTTATTCGAAATCGAGTGAACTGCGTAAATATTTATATAAGCACACGTTACAGGTATATATATTGTATATATATGATATATCTGATGACTGTTTAGGTTTCCAATATATTCAAGGTATTTCTCTTGCCGTTGCTCTTACCTTAGTTGTTTGTAAACAAAGCAAATGCAAAAAGCTTTTAGGTGACAAATGTTTAATGCTTGATCACAGCATATACATTCACCCTCTATGTATGTATATATAAATGCTTATAGGTATATACAAATGAGCTGCTTAAATTTCAATGCACTTGCAACTTCCTTGATAGCAAATTGAAATTGAAATTCTAGATGTTTGCCCAATGGAAGCGCTAAAGGAAACAACGGGAAATTTTGTTGAACGAACGAACGAACTCTCAATGCCTTTTGTTTCTGTGGTTAGCCAGTTTAGATGGCAGCAGGAGGGGTATTGTCAGTGCTGAGGGGGGGCGTGTCAACCGTTAGCATTTGATGGGTTTTAGGTGCGTCGCATTGACGTCAAGTATCCGCCTTCTAATGCGTATGTCAATTGCATAAAATGTTCGTTTATTGTATCTATCGCTATTGATAGCTTCAAATTAAATAGTTAAAAAAAGAAGTAAATTAAATTAAACATGTGCTACAGTAATTTATATAAATATTTATAAATATTGTAGAATAATTTTAAATATTTAAAAAATGCTTGCATAAATTTTTCTTGCTTCCATCTCAACTGACTCAATACTTTAAATATTTAAAAAATATTTACACACATAATTTGTACTTCCATATTTACTTGTAAAATTGTTTGTAAATATTTTGCATCAAATTAAAAACACATAAACAATTTCAAACGTTAAATCATAAGCAAGCAAAACCGGATAGAGGCGTGGCAGTTTTCTCATCGGCTAACTACACGACTTAAGTTTTATTTTTTTTTTTTCATTGCATTAAATATTTTAAACGTTTTGTTTAATTTTTAATTACAACTTTATACATTAACAAATCTAATTAATTTTAATCACTAACAATACAAAAATCGGGTACGATTATAACATTTATTAAAAAACAAGATTGTGAAGTGTTTAGCAAATATAGTCTTATTATATCTCAAATAAAGTATTGCATTTTAATATGTATATAAGTTGGCATGAATGTTTTTTTTTTTTTTTTCAAAACGAAATTGAAGGTTTTTAATTCTGTTAAAATTTACGATACGATTACGATATTCAGATTTTACATTGTTTTATTGTGTTCTGCCTACTTCTGTTTAAATAACTCATTAAATTTTGATTTATGTTTGTTTCACTCGAATATTTTGAAAGTAATTCATAAGAAGAATTTGGAAACAAATATAATTATAGGAAATGTCTAGAGCAGTGAATTTATAATGTTTATATATTCAGATAATAAACAAATTATTTGAGTTCGCTGTCTTTTCAATCATAGGTCTTAATATATTTAAATACTGCAAATAATTGCTCGACCTTAGGTAACTTAATCACAAAAGTTAATTGAGTACTCGCAATTTTCGTCTTGAGTCATAAGTTTAATTTTATGAACTCTTTTTGTTTATATATTGTTTGTATTATTTCCTGTTGTTGAGTCAAAACAGAGCTTTAAAGACTTTAAAGAAATAAAGTTTTAATCATATAATAATCATATAATCAACAGAGAAGGCGACACACAATTATATGCACTTAAACAATTGCAGTTTATTTATAAAGTATTCAAGTATTTTGCAGTTTTAATAACTCTTCTTATTACTTATTTTTTACTTGCAGTTTAATTGTGAAGCAAGAACAACAACAACAACAACAGCAAGTGCAACAATTGACACAATTGGCAATAAATCAGCAGACGCTTGAGCTCAACGAACAGGAGGAAGCGGAGAAGGGAAGAAGCAGTACACAGAAAATAAACGAAAACGAAAACAAACGAGACAACTAGAAAAATAAACAGACAGACGTGCAGACGGGCGAACAGGAGGCAGTGCATCATTGGCAGCAGCAGGGGAGAGGACGGAGCAACAGCAGTCGCAGCATCAGGTCTCACGTCTTCGGCATCAATTTCGACTGAGCTATTTTGGGTAGATGTAAGATACTTTGCGTAGCTGTGAGATACTTTGCGTAGCTGTAAGATACATTTGCCCACGCCAGCCAGGAATGCAGCATGTGGCCATGTAAAGGCAGACAACAGCCACAAAACAGAAAACAGCAACTGCAACAACAACAATTGRAGTAGAAGCAACAACTTTTAGCAGCTTTCACTTGACAGTCACTTGACTGCCACTTGACAGTCACTTTAGCAGTCACTTGGCATTTAGCGAGACGTGTCGATGAGTTGAACAGCGCCACAGCCATCCCCAACAGAAGCGCCTACCCCGTTAGCCATACAAACAATGGAAGCAACGCAACAACAGCAGCCAACAGAAGCAGCTGGAGCAGCAGCAGTCGCAGCGATTGCCAGGTCATTGGACCAGCAGATGGATGCATCGATTGGCTCGCCCAATCACTCGCACTACTCGAATCTCACCAACACCAGCAGCAGCAACAGCAGCAGCCATCACAATAGCAACGTGAGCAGCCCCTCGGTGGCCACAGATAGCAGCAGTTCCTCCTCCTCATCCTCGGCGCCGCAATATAGCGAGGATTTGCGTGCAGCCGCTCGACAGAATCCAAGGGGTTCACATTCGGGCAGCGGCTCCACAAAAACCTGCGAACTGGATGTGGGGGAGGAGGAACGGGATACCTTCTCACCAGTTTCCAGTCCAGAGTGCAATAACGGTGCAGTAGCGACAGTTGCTCTGGTAGCAGCAGCTGTTGCCAGCAGCAGCAGCAGCAGCAGCAGCAACGGCGGCGGCAGAGACAACAAGAGCTACGACAGTAAATTGAAGCCGCCCTCAAAGGAGGAGAAGCAGCGACAAAACGAGGAAATCGTATGCATGGAAACGTCCACAGTATCCACTGAGACGGGCTCCTGGGAGTCCGTTTATCCCACTGCATCAGCTGTGCAATCGCAGCCTCCAGTTCCCACTCTGCCCCACATGGAGGGCATCAGCGCCAGCTGTCTGTTGCGCGATTTGGAGAAGCGTGAACAGCCGTTGAGCAGCTCTCAGAATAGCGCCTGCTTCATAGACGCCTCGTCGCTGCGCGATGAGGACGAGGTGCTATCGTTTCCTAGCCTGGACAGCCTGCAGCAGACCAATGAGCAGGCCAAGCCGGAGACAGAGCTGGAATTGGAGCAGTTCCACAAGGCGTTCGCCAAGTGCAAGCCGCCGCGCAGCAATCAGTCGAATTGCAGCTCCGATGTGGAGGTTGAGGATGAGCCACGTCCGGACTCGAATAGTGGCACCAACAATCTGTCCGATGAGGAGAAGCTGTGGAAGCGTGAGCAACAGCTGCCGGCCAGTGGTGCCACCGATGCCACTGAGGCCAGCAGCGTGTCCCTGGCAGCCGATGCGGATTCTTCAGACTCCTCGCTAAGTGCACGCAGGCGACGCACTGCACCCGCTGCTGTGCCCATGGCTGTGCCGCGCAGCTTCCAGCACAACACACAACAGTTTAGTGTGCATCCGTTGGGCAACAGTCCGAAGTTTGCACCACACCATGGACACGATCTCAGCTATACGACAGACTACTCCAGCAGCAGTCCGGCCCATAGTTTGGTCTGGTCGGAGCAGGGCAGGCAGCAGCAACAGCTGCAGCAGCAGCAGCCGCAATCGCTGCAGCCCCATCAGCAGCAGCTGCCGCCAGCTACAGACACTCCGCACAATTCCATGGTGCATATACTGGAGCACGTCTCCAGCAGCAACAATAGTTCCATACACAGGGATTATACGTTCAGCTCCTCGTTGTCGCATCATCGCGATTCTGGCGCCTATTGCAGTGATGCAACAGATTCGCCGCTGCCGTTGCCGCGCACGCCCAAACGCAGCTCCAAGTTCGATGAGGCGAATCCCATTGTCTCGGGTGGCGCATCCATCGAGGACTTCAGGCAGAAGCACTGCGACAGTCCCAGTCGAAAGCGCACCGATGCCTGTCCCATTGTGTCGGGAGGATTTGTCTCGCTGGACTTTGCGCCCACGCGGCCCAGGGACGATGATGATGATGATGATGAGATTGCACGGGATCAGCAGGCGGATGATGATGCAGAGCTGGAGGGTGTGGAGCTAAGGGTAAAGACGGGTCAACCGCTGCGTAAGCCCCTGCCAGGCATTGCCTCCTGGGTGGTGGACATGAGCGATTGTCGGCCAGAGCGACGCAAGAGCAGCAGCTCCACGTCCAGCTTGGAGGCGGGCGCAGCACGGTTTCGTGAGCGCTCCGACTCGAATAGCTCGCACAAGAGCGGTTGTGGTTTCTATGTGTCGCTGGATGACATGGACAGGAAGCCGAAGGTGCAAAAGGAGCAACCACTGCAGCCATCGTCCCTCAGCAAATCCTATACAGCGCCCAAGGCGGCCAATTTCTTTGTGAATCTCTCACAGAGCGAATATCAAGCTAAGGATGACGAGCAGCTGGAGCAGTCAAAGCCCAAGGAGGAGCCCGTGCAGCAGGCGGACAAAAAGAATATATTCAGCATGTTTATAGACTTTGGTGAGCCGGCCAAGCAGCAGCAGCCCACGCGTGCCACGAATGGACGCAAGGAGCCCTTCAGTTTGGCGCAGCGTCTGAGCAGTTCCTTAAGCGTGGCTCAACGGCGTGGCGATGAACTAATGAAGTCCAGTGCCAGCTCCACGGAAACCCTTATGGCCAAGAGCGGCACACAGCAGGCGACTCAGTTGCCGATTTTGCAGAAGGAGGAGAGCAAATCTCTGGACTATCGTTGCAATTTGGAGCAGCCATCGTTGACGGTGGCTGCACTGCGTCGCATGACGCGCGAGCAGGAGCCCAGCAAGCGCCACAGCTGGGGTAGCAATAACAGCAAGGAGCAGGCGCCCATTCCGGGGGATTACAAGCGCTCCATAAGCCTAACGGCCAACGGAGGCGATCCACCTGGCAGTGGGCTAATGAGCATCATAGACAAGTTGCCCATTATATCGAAGGCATCCTCCTTGTCCGTGGATAGTTCCTTGTCGCCCTACGATGATTACAGCGGCGGTGCCATGAGCAGCTGCTCCGATGAGGATCAGCAGGCGGCTCGTTTGAAGAAGCGACGTCGGGATGCACAGCTAAATGAGACCTACGACAAGAGCAGCAGCATTGCCTCTGCCCTGACCGAGGGTGTGCTCTCCAAGGACATGTCGCCCGCGTCCAATACGGACACAGATGATCTCACCTTCCAGCAGGATGAGCAGCTGGCGCTGCGTGAGGTACAACTGCAGCAGCAGCAGCAGGTGCCACTGCCAGTGCCGCTGACAAGCAGCTCGAACCGCACCTCCATCATGGAGACCATCATTGAGGCCAAGGAGACGGCCTCACCCAAGAAGCAGCCGAATCTTAGCAATGGCCACACCATGGAAACGCTCCACGCGACCATCGAGAAGCAGAAGCAGCTGCTGGAAACGGTTAACGAGAATGCCGAGCAGCCGGCCAACTTTGTCAAGCTTTCGGATATGGATAAGCCGGTGGCCAAGCACGATCTGCAGTCGCCGGATGCCATGAGCAAGAGTGCGGGTACTCAACGCAGCGCCAGCCAGCGTTTCTATCGTGATGAACAGCAGCGTGCGGCAGCACGGCCTCATTCCTGGGCGATGACACGCTCCACAGGAGGCGGTAATAATATCCAGCAGCTGGCCAGCTCGGTGGACAACTTGCGCAGCTTGTCGCGCCTGTTTCCCAACTTCAGCAAGGAGTTCTCCAATTCGCTGCCAGGCGACATGACATTGGACAACGGTCAGCAGCAGCAGCAGTTGGATTATATACAAACGGATTTGAGTGCCGATTCCAGTTTGGCTTCCAGTTTCAGTCGGTCGGGAATGGACGAGTCCTCGATGAGCTGCCGTCAGCCCCGGCGACTGGGTGAGGATTTGCTCAAGATGTTTCTGCAGGAGATCGCCACCGATATGCTGGTGGAGGTGCATGGCAGACGCATCCGCGCCCACAAGTGCATCCTGCGCAGTCGCTGTCAATATTTTGCAGCCATGCTGGCGGGCCATGGAGCCCAGAGCGTTGTCTCGCTGCAGGGCTACTCCTATGCAGCCGTGCACTTTGCTCTGTGCCACATCTATTCGGGTGCCTCGCATCCACCGGATGGCATCAGTCTGATGGAGCTGGCCGCATTGGCTGACCTGTTGGGCTTGGAGGGATTGAAGGAGGTGACATCGCATGCGCTGAAGACAAACTACTGCCACAACTTCCATAAGCCCTGTTCCGGGTGCATCGATGGCATACTGCAGGTGCTGCCTGTCGCATTGAATCATGCCCTGGATGATCTCTATCGCAAGTGCTTGCGCTGGACCTGCCGGCACTACCTGAAGGTGTGGCCGACGCGTCAATTCGCCCAGCTGCCGCCGGATATACTCGGGCGATGTCGTCAGCAGATTGTTGCTTATATGGTAAGATTTTCTAATTGCATCATTTAGCAGAGATTTGTCTACTCTCTCACTCTCTCCCACACAGACCTCGGAGACGGTGCTGGACACGGTGCTCGATTGCGATCATCTGTTGGCCCAGCTGTCGGCCTATCGCTGGGGTCACATCTGCGAGCAGCTGGTGCGCGATATCCTAGATGCTGCCTATGGCTATGTGGGCGATCACTTCGCCAGCCTCATAGCCAGCGATTCGTTCCTCTCGCTAGGTCACGATCGCAGTCGTCACATTCCACGTCTCGAGACGCTGTTGCTGCAAACGGCTGCGGCGCTGACGCCGGAGCAGGCATGCCGCAGCTATCAGCGCGTGACTCGCCTGAATACGGTGTTGCAGGCGAAACTTATCCAGATGCCGGTCAATCTGGGCGAGCTGGCCAAGGAGCTGCAGGGCTTGCAGGAGGAGCAGCTCGACTGGCAGCCCGAATATATACGCCTGGTCAGCGCCTTGGTCTATGCCGTCGAACAGTGCCTGATTCGGCAGTGCTCGCGTGCCATGCGCGTCACTGCCTGGCAGCGCATGGATCTGGAGCTGCGCAAGAAAATCCAGACGATGGCGCGACTCACCGAACCGCTCGATCTCAAGCGCAACGGCGGCAAGCCGGTGAGCAAGGCTTTCTCCTTTGGGGGCAGCACACGCAGCCAGGATCTGGTGCAGATCAAGCTGGCCATACAGGCGCAATCGAAGCGCGTGCAGGCGCAGGAGACGCAGCTCTACAAGGCCACGCAGACCAACTACGATGCGGCGCATGTGCAGACCACGGAGCGTGGCGTCCAGGCGCATGCCACTGATCCGCGCGAGGGCAACAGTGAGTGCTATCAATAAGCACATCAATAAAATATATACTTACTTTCTATTCTATTTTTCAGGCAAACTGCTCAAGTCCAATTCCCGCGCCTATGTGCCGCAGGCGCAGCGCGCCAGCTCCCAGACAGCCGGCGAAAGGCACAGCCTCAATACGCATCGACGCACACAATCGGAGGCGCCGCCCGTTACACAGCGCAAGCCGGTGGCAGTTGTGGAGCCCAAATCGAACGCCTCCAGCAGCAGTCAGACCAAATCTGCAGCACCTGTAGTGCGTGCTCGATATCTGGAGCCGCGTAAGCCGCGTGCGGCGAGTGCAGGCAATGGCACTGCGGGTCCCATACGCAGTGCTACCAGCTCCAGTATACCAGCGGCACGCAAGGCTCAAGCCAAGAATCTGCACATCTCTTCCAGCGACAGTTCGCGCAACTCCAGTCCGGCGGCGCTGCGACGGGGCACACGGCTGGGCAACAAGTCGAACAACTTGTCCACAGATAGCCTGGCCAAGAGCGGATCTCGTGAGCGGTATTCATCGGATATGAATGTGGACTCGATGGCGGAGAGCATGAAGAGCTCGGTAATAACCAACAAAACGATCTCACACGAATCGCTGTCGAGTAGCTCCAAATTGGCGCGAGTGCATCAGCTCAATGGGCATGCCACTGCTGCAGCTGGCACCAAGCCCACGGCTCCATTGAGGGGCATACAACGCGGCACAGCGCTGACGAACAAGTCGACGCGCCAGCTCAAGCAGCAACACAACGTCAATGCAACAGGCGCTTCTAATGGCTCCAGTCCCAGTTCCGTGCACACAACCAAGTCGGCAACCAGTCGACTGTCCTCGGTGAGCAGCACGTTGTCTACGCGGGAGATGTTCAAGCAACGCTCAATATCGGTGCCGGCTGGTGGAGATAATCCTACAAAGGGACGACACAGCTTTCTGTCTGCCAAGTCGCGAGAGATTCTTGCCAAGCGTGCAGAGAAGAATAAACTGCAGCAACAACAACAGCAGCAGCAACAACAACAGCAGCAGCAACAACAAGAGCAACAACAACAACAACAGTTGCGCGCCTCTGCTGGCCCTTTGCGCTCCTCTTCACATTCCGCCGTCAGCAGCATGATGCAGCAGCATAATCTACGCAACAGTTTGCCCTCCAATATACCCACACGACGACCCAATACGCTGCATCTGCGCAAGACAACAAATCAAACAACCACAACAACTACCAATGGCCATGCACCATCCGCTCCTGGCTATAAGTCCCACACAAATGGTGTCCTGAATGGCGGCTTTAAGGCTGCACAGGCGGTTAAACAGAAACTGGATTTGCTCATCGATGTGCAGCTGGAGGGCAGCAGCCGCCACAACAACAACAACAACATCAACAACGGTGGCCAGCGTGTCGAGTCCAAGCTGGAGCGTTCGAGCACATTTTGCAAGGATAGCGCCGATTTGGATTTAAATGTAGCCGAACTGCAGATTGTGGAATAAATCTACAAAACGGTATGAAGAGAGAAAGACGCCGCACTGCGGCAAAGTGTCTGTCATTGAATTCAATTATTATTTTTCTCATTGAACAGGTCCATATCAAATATGAACCGAGCGAATCAACCCATACACGTCCCATAAGGCAACTCTAGTCAATAATAGCATGTAGTTGCAGGCGCAGGAAACGTTAAACAATAAATCAATAATATCCACACAGAGAGGGGAGAACAAAAATAATCAAAGAAAAGTGAAGAACATGTTACTAAAAAGCAAAGATGCACCCACTAACCTTATAATAGTTATATACATAATTACAACAAAAACTTATTGTCGTTAAAAATCCCCCCTTCCCACAAAAAGAATATATTTCAAAAGGAAAACATATTTAAATGCTAACTAAAGTAAAGTAATGGCTGGCAGGTGAAGTGGAAGCAATGTCAAAAAGCGATGAAAAGATAATTTGGTGATATTATTTAGTGTGCGCTTGCTGTTTATTATTTTTTAACTTTTTCCTTAATTTAGAAACAAAATTTGTTTGCTGCAATTTGCGTGCTTGAAGTACTCCTCGAAAGTAAAAGAAAAACTACTAAGATAATATTTATGTGCTTTCGCCATCTGCATTTAAAAGTAAAAATCTCTGTGCTGCAGCTTATAAACAAGTTATATTGTTAACAAGGCCCTCTCTCTATCTGTCTATCTCTAGCCCTCCTACTCTTAAATACTGTAAGCATTGCGAATGTTTTATACTGTTCTTTATTTGAATTTTTATATAGAATCGGTCGCGCAACCAAGAAGAATGTATTTTTTCATTTATTTATATTTTTTAATTATTTAATATTTAATATTGATTTCTGTATATTTTTTAATTATATATTTGGGCTTTACGCTAATTGCCCTTGAATAGTCAACAAATGTTTTGCACTTATTTTCTAGCTGATTTTATACACACTTAAAGATCGCTATATCTTAGATATAT